CCCCCCCCCCCCCCCCCCCCCCCCCCCCCCGGATTGATTGAAGATGAGCAACACCCAAGGCAATCAAAATCACTCAACCAAGCAATCACGCCGCGCAGTCCCCTCCCCTCCCTCCCTTCGACCGATGAACTTCGTCTTGCTGTCGCGCTTTCTTCCACCTGCGATCTAATCCGACGTAGAGCCTGCCTGCACCTCAAGGCGTCCACTGTGCTATGCCAGCCGGACAATAGTTTCTTTCCACCCCCGTCCTGCCAGCCCAGCCCACCAGCCCACCAGTCACCAGCCCAGCCCACCAGCCCAGCCCACCAGCCCAGCCCGCCGCAGACCGCTGAACGACTGCTGAGTCAAATCGAAAAAGCAACCACAGCCAATCTTGTCTCCACATGGCGCGCACCGTAAACACCAACTTTACACCGTCAACATCGGATCGCCCCAGCCCGCTTTTCACACCCGACTTTTCATTTTCATTCATCCCCCAACGTCGGGGGAACCGTGCTACCGGACATGGGGAACCTCCCCGCCCCACACACCACAACTGCTTCCTGGAGCTGCGGATTCCCCTAGCTCGCTCCGAAGCTAGGTCTGAGCTAAGAGCCACCTCAAACCGCGGTAAGGGGGTTCCCGAGCCTCTCGCCCCCTACTAGTAACCCCGCTTACTCGACTTCCGTATAACGCACCTGAACGCCATGGCGTACAGGTTCCGGCCGATTCCGCACAGACATCAGCGCAAACGCAAACAGCACCCGTCATTGAAATTGAAATACGCCACCAAAGGGCACAGCAAGGTCCGGCAGTTTTTACGGACACGGATGGGCGACCGCTGTTCATTTCCGGCGGTCGCGTGAGGTCTTGAACGCCTGCCCTGAGGATACACAGTCATCGGGAACAGAGCCCGACCGGTAAGGGCGCAGGTAAAGACGAAGTCCGTCCCGTCTCACAAGGCCCTGGAACGTTCACATTGGTCCACTTCACATTGGGACAGCGTCTATTGCGCAACTTCGACTACCGCCGATCTGCTTCCCCCTTCAATTTGGCCAAAGGTAAGGGCCTCACCACTCCACTGTCGAAATGAAAGACGAACGAATGCATCTTCACACGGCGGACGGCGAGATGCACCCGTTACTAACTATGAATAGCGATGGACGCATCTTACCACTTTCTGCGGTAGATGCATTCCTTGTGTTTTCGTTTCGACAGTGGTGTGGCGAGGCCCTAACACGCAAGTGGTACTGGTGCTAATGATGTGCATCACGAGGTAACGAGAGAGGAACCGGACGTTGGCCCAGAAGCGGCAGGGAGGAACGGGCACGATGGGCACATCTGGGGGCACGGACAAAGATGAACCAGGGGCAGAAATCTTTTTTTCCCCCTTCTTTTTTAGGAAACTTTTGAGTTATACCCCTCAAAATTGCGATTTATGCCAAACTGCCCCTAAAAGATGAGGGTAATTAACAATCTTTGCGAAATAGCTTTCGCATCAGTCGGACCGACCATCATTGCAATATATCCCTACCAGCGGTCCAGCTTTTCAAAATACCCCTGTGCATGCCGGCTTTCAAAGAGCCCAATAAATTTTCAGTCTACTCCTACCGGCCTATGTCACCTTTCCAATACACCCCCCTGGCCGTTAGGCCCAATTCCTCCATCTCCGACCTCGACCTCCTCCTCCCTCGTCATTCCTCCAAGGTCTCCTCCCGCTGTGTGTGTGTGTGAGTGTGTGTGTGAGTGAGTGAGTGAGAGAGAGAGAGAGAGAGAGAGAGATGCACATCAAATGAGCAAAATAAGAATGGATCTTCCTCTAAACCTTGGGAAGATACACTGCCATAACTCTAATCCTTTGCACATGTGTTCAATAATAGAGCGAGGTCTAGGGCTCTCTCTCTCTCTCTCTCTCTCTCTCTCTCTCTCTCTCTCTCTCTCTCTCTC